ACACACACACACACACACACACACACACACACACACACACACACACACACATTCTCTCTCCTCGTTTTATACCCCTATTTTCGCCATCCCCACCACCCTCCTCAACTCACACACACCACTGTAAACATCATAATATTATACTTATACATGTAATGTACGTGAAAGAGCTAAACTATGCGGTAGTGTCAAGACACAGTATTATGAATAACGTATGATGGAAGTTACTGAGATTAATAGAAACTGACTTGATCGGCACACAATAAGAAACACTACTAGGCTAGAAAGCAAACAGAAAGTGAGAAGCAATAAACTGCTGGTCCTGGCCTTCAGTACTTTACCCGTGCTTTCTGCATCCCCACCAAGGAGCTTTCCCACTCAAAATATCGATGTGCACTGGACCTGTTAAATATGTAATAAAAACTGTCTTGAATGATGACAAAAAGTCAATTGATACTGTACCAGTGACGCTGTCCCATCCAGATCAAGTCTACAATCAGATACTATACAAAGCTGGACAAAGTAAGCACACAACAGTTTCCGATCATTAGAGAATTTTTATCATCAAATTTTAATGTTCTTCATCGCACTTCTCAGTTCTCAGAACACTGTGTTGTAACAAAATGGGTAAGTGTGTCAAATGCTAATTATAGAACTTGGTGTCTAGCTGGGATGACGGTGGAAAATGGGAGGGAAGGGAAGGGGTAGGCCTATTGTTTTTCGGCCCAGACTCTGACAGCCGAGTGCCTATCGCTCCTCGTTATAATTCTCCTTATAATACATATATCTTAACTAGACGATTCCTCCTTTCGCCGGCCAGACTCCTATGGGCCAGGTAAGTTATTAGTGATGAGAAAGCGATGAATAAATGCTAAACAGGAACTATAGGCGGCTCAAAATTCAATAAACAAAAAAAATAAAGGTTGGTGCCATATTGACAATAAATATTCTGATAGTAGTTAGAGAAAGGCTGAATGATAAATACATGTATTGCTGATAAAATTATTCATGTGTCTGTGGTGCTCAAGACAGTCTCATTCTTAATTTTGTAAGCTACAAAGAGGCCAATTTGGAAATTAAGGGATGCTCTCTTCGCTCTGAGGGCAGTCGATTGATTTGGCCCAGGGACTGACGTCATCGCTAGGCCTAAACCCGCTGTGTTCGGTACAGGGTACAGAGGTACGGAACAGATACTTTCAAGTGAAGCAAGTAAGTAAGTAAGTAAGTAAGTAAGTAAGTAAGTACGTACGTAAGTACGTAAGTACGTAAGTACGTAAGTAAGTAAGTAAGTAAATAAGTAAGTAAGTAAGTAAGTAAGTAAGTAAGTAAGTAAGTAAGTAAGTAAGTAAGTGTGGGTGGTGGTGAAACCGTTTTCAGGGGCGGATCAATTCTAAGAACTCGTTGCTTGGTAAAATGATACGTAAATTTTGACGTCCTTCTTTTCAAAACAACAGTCCTTCAACGCCGTATTAGAAATGAAAAAGAAAAGTAAAAATGAAGGTAATACATTACCTAGAATCAAGCTCTTTATGAACTGGCCTTTTTCTGCGATCAGTTCTAAATTTCTTTTATTACAAGATGTCTCAACTTTGCGAAGCTGGCCGTTATTTTTGTCCCGTCCTAGTTCAAGGCAGAAAATCTGCCCGAGAAGCAGCCTCGGCAGTTTCTCGACTCATCCAGATTTTTAGCGCGCCGGACATGTCGGGGATGACCAAAAAACAAACAAACAAACAAAACAAAAATTATAATAATAGGACAGCCGTCACGACTTACGAGTGGCACTCTCCAACCGCCCACACGCCACATCTGATGTAATTTGTGGGAAGACTACACGTGCAGGACTTGAACAACAAAGGTAACAAAAATGAAAGTGCGGACAATAATTTAAAAAAATGACGCGACTGAAAGTTGTGTATTCGTAACCTAAATACAAACAAACAAACACAAAACAAGGCAACAAAAAAAAACCCAACAAAAAAACAAACAAAACTGTGCCAAACGCCGCTTGCAACACTGACACAACCTAGGGGCGGGCTGGACCCAAGGAGGTTACAGCTTGGTTGGACCCTAAACCGGTACCGTAGATCTCGACGTTCACATTCATGAGTTGCATGTAGGAGTTGCCATTCTCGTGATTTGTTGTGCACGTATTACGCTCCCATCGATCCGGTTTAGACCCAAGAACAATAAATTACAATCGTCGACAATCTTGAGATATGTACTAAGCTCAAAGTTAAGATTTTTTTCCTTCAGTTTTTTAAAATGTTTGCATGCACTCGAGATAGATCTATATTTTGGTGAAATATCAATTTTCAAAAGTAACAAAACATTGATGTGTGTGTGTGTGTTTTCAAATGTAAAAAAATTGACGAGTGTGTGTTTGTGTGTGTGTGTGTGTGTGTGTGTGTGTGTGTGTGTGTGTGTGTGTGTGTGTGTGTGTGTGTGTGTGTGCACGCGCGCCCGCGCGCCCATAAATGATATGTACATATCAGGAAGCTGTGTGAAGACAGTTGTTCCACCGACTCTACTGTCATCTGACAGGCACCGAAACAACTTTGTGCGTGCTCCCTCTCATGCCTCGCGGCGCCGTGAGCAGAATTGATGTCATTATGGGCTATGGTGTAGATGACATGAGTTTGAATCCTCTGTGGATGATTTCTGAACGTTTTACTAAGGCGCTTCTCCTCTTAAGTAATATTGTTACCTCCTCCTCCTCCTCCTATTACTACTACTACTACTACTACTACTACTACTACTACTACTACTACTACTACTACTACTACTACTACTAC